TATATACACATACATACATACACATGCATGCGTGCCACACATACAGACACAGACACGCATGCGCATGCGCTAAATAGTGTCTAGTTCGAAATAGACAGGCGCGCACAGAACTGCTTGTGTCTGTCTGTCTCTCTGCCTGCCTGCATGCGTGCCTGGCTGCCTGAGTGCCCGCCTGCCTGTCTGTCTGGCTGTTTGTCTGTCCGTCTGTCCGTCTGTCGGTCTTCATGTATGCACGCATGCCATGCATGCATGCATGTATGTCTGTGTGTGTCTGGTGCATACATGTACGCATGTGAGCATGTGTGCATGCATACAGTTACTGACCGCTGGTCGTGCAAGCAGGAAGCCGGATACAGTAAAATTCCAGAGGTCCAAGAGCACCTCTCGAACAGTCCAAGAGCATTACTGAGCCACTAAACCGTTCTGCACGTCGCAGACGGCATGCACGGGGGAATATTTCGAGAAAATTCACGAGTCACCAAACTGCCCCGTGAGCATGAAGGGGAGGCCAGAGCGCGCAGAGATGTGCACAGGATTGGCAGTACCACGAGTCCAGACCTGACAACCTTCGTACAGAAAATCGACTCCAATGGCCAAGTACGTGTGACTTTGGCGAGAGCACAATGTCCAGGGATGTGTGGATGTCAGTGCGCCTTGGTGTGCCACCTTCGACGGAAAATACAAATGCGTTGCTGTAGCTCCTTCTTCGAAGCTGCATGAAACGTGTTGCCCTGTTGGTTGTGTGTGTGACTATAGAGGATATGTGTACATATGATATATGTAGATTCAGAGATAGATAGATGTGCTAAAAATATACTCATGACTCATGAATCATGATATATACATACACGTATACATACATAAACAAATACATGCATACATGCATGCATGAACACATACATACATACTTACTCACATACATACATACATACATACATACATACATACATACATACATACATACGTACATACACATGTACATACAAACAAACATACATACATACAGGTACCTACATGCATGCATATACATACGCACGCACACGCGCGAATATATATATATATATATGTATATATATATATGTATGTATATACACATGCAAGTACGAATATGTGTGTACACGTATATATATATATATATGTATATATATATATATGCGTATATATGTATATACACATACATATAGATACATACATACATACATGAACCCACACGCTTATATATATATATATGTATATATATATATATATATGTATATGCATGTACAGGCATGTAAAATTTCATGTATCTGTATATGTGCATGTATATGTACATGTGTATGTGCATGTGTATGTGTATTTTTATGTGTATGTATTCGTGCATGTATATGTGTTTGTATATGTGTGTATGTATGCATGCATGCATGCCTGTATGTATGTATATATCTCCTGCATACGTATCTGCATAAACAGATCGATGTCTGCTTGCGCGCAAGAAGGCTCCTGTGCAATAGATTAATGATCTATGTATACAGATGCACTTCTACGTTTTTGAGTGTGGGTGTAGGAGACCTGTAAGTTCTCAAACAAGAGACTTGCGCACAGAAAAGACGCATCCACATACAAGGTAGTGGTACCTGACCCGGTAGTGCCGCACTCAGTACGTTGCTGTTGCCCAGGGTGTCATGGCTTCAGATGTCTGCACCAGATTGAGGTAGTAGTATGATGCTGGGCGTAGCATCGTATGTTGAAGCTCGAGCTCAACGATGTCTGCAGATCTTCGAGGCATCCGACATATGTGCTCATGGCAGCTGACCGCAACTTGATCACACCGAACCCCTTAGATTGTTGGAGCCAAAGTGCTGGTGGCGTGTATGCACATCGGGATCGCCAAGCATGAGGTTGAGGTCCAGCATGTCGGACGAATGTGCTCAAACACGTCCAGGGCCACCGTCATCGTAACCTTCAGCCATAGCACCATCACTACCGTCACTATCAACATCACTGTGACAATCACCATCACCATCTACCATCTATGTACCTCGTCAGCATCCAGCATCACCTGTTCATTATTCGTCATGTTGTTTGTCTGCTTCACCATGTTCATCATCCTGCTAATCATCAATGTGGTCATCTTCGTCGGCCTCTCAATCAACATAATCATGGCTATGACCACTGCTGTTTTAATGACAGTCTGTGTGGCTTTACCTCTTGCTTTGGCTCGTCTTCAGCACGAGTATGATCATATCAAGCTCACCTTTCCTAGGCATCACCATGGTACTCCTCACAGTCACAGCGGCCGTCACAAATACAATCACAGCTTGGTTGCCCGATGGAGGAATTGAAGGATCTCGACACGAAGAGATGAGCCGGATGATCCCAGTGGCTCAGGCGAAGCCGGTGGCCCCTCGCATAAAAGTTCCGTGTGTCTCGCCTTCACAGGCGAGCACGCCGCAAAGAAAGACCTTAGGTACCCGCTGCCTGTTTAGGACCTGGGAAGCATTTCCTTGTGCCACCGAAGCGCATAGTATCTCATGCGTCGGAACAGTGCTCGGCAGGTCGTGGGATCAAGAGGCGTTCGGCGTTCCGATGTGGTCTGCTGGGGCCTTGTGCCCCTAGGGGACCAACCGCATCGTCCGATTGGCGAGAGCCAGGAGAGCATCACAGTGTCAAACTAGACACTTCCAGTTAGTTGAGACCGACTTGACTGCGTCGCACAACAACAAAGTTCAAGGTGCAGCTTCGCTGGAGACTCGCAGCTGAGTCTGTCCATGCACATGACGCAGGCTCATCTGCCCAGTTTCCTTATGCATTCACAGTTCGCCACCATTTGTAATCGTCAGTTTCTGCTTGTGAAATCAGGTTCACAGGCCATGCAACAGCAAGGTAGCGACCAGGTGCCAGGGGCCTTCGGGAACCGTCTGGCTGGCACATTCTCGGAGCTTTTGTGATTTGCTTGGGGCTTGGCTGTGGCAGTGTGGCGAAGGATTCTTGCTGGAATCGGGAAGAGGCTAGACTCTCATCCAAGTCATTCTTTTCATGACCCCCTTGTAGACCCGTGTTTTCGCGGTAGCGCGGGCTGGCAAAAACTACGGAAAGCACGTGTTTTTCGGAGTTTGGGGAGGCAAGCAAAGTCCCAGTTGAGTGGTCTTACTTTTGCAGCTGCCGCTGTCAGGTCTTGTTCAACCATGCCGTTTTGTGGTGTGCTCTGCCTTCACTCGGTGCTTTGATGATTTGATGTCGTCCTGGTCTTGGCTGAAAGGCCTTAAATCCGTTGCATGTTGAAGGGCCCTAAAACCAGATAGCTTCTTCAACAGAAATCGGAAGGTCTCAAACATTCGACCAGCTCGTCTGGTTGTTCTTTTGCTGCAGTTCGTTTACTGATCATGGGCATCGTTGGTGTCTGAGCACTGTTCCTCAAGCTCGGTGCTACCTGCTGGCGTTCCCTTTCTCCGCAGGTCGCGTTGCATTGAGGCTGAGTTGTATCGTCGCCTACGACTGGCGTCGCCGGAACAGCGCAAGGAGCCTTTGCACCGGATCCCGTGTTTGGGCCAATAGGGCAGCAGTCGACAACTCTGAGGATGACGACACTCATGGGGGGTGACAATGATGATGACGGTGCTGGTTGGGGGTGGTGATGCTGACGTTGAATGTGACAGTTGGTGGATCGGTGGCTGTGCTGGTGGTATTGCTACTCTTCTTTCTCTTCGGCTCCCTCGTTTTCTGTTGTTTGGTACAACATGTGGGCGGCTCGTACGTCCTTCAGCTGCAGCCCTGCTTGTAGCCTGAGCTCTTCAGAGCGTGCTGTGCCGCCATAGATGGGTTTTTGCTTCGGGTTCTGTATACTTCGACGAGTGGTTTTCTGCCTCATATTCAGATTCCGGCTTTGCTGCTTGCTTGTCGTCTTGAGTCGAGTCGGGGTCAGTCCTGCGACACATGGTGAGGGTGGCTTTTGCTCCTCAAGCGGCCTTGAAACTGCCCGCAACTTCGACAGTCTGGATTCACAACCTGAAGTGGGTTCGGTCTTCGGTGGCCAAAAGCAGCAGCACCACCACCACTACTCGCACTGGCACTCCTCCTAGTGCGACGACGACAACAAGGACCCCTGCTACTGCTAATGGTGCTGCTGCTGCTGCTGCTGTTGCTGCTGCTCTACTATTACGACGACGACTAGTGTGACCCAATATTCGGCAATACATACAGTGGTGGCACTCGAAAGATGAAGGGGATACAAAGCACAGAGAGGGCAGCAGGTGCTGTAAGCATAGTACGCTGCATAGCAGTACAGCAGCAAAGCAGCACAGGAAGCATGGACAATTGGAAGCATTGCAAGATGAGAGTCAGTTGTAGGAAGACTGGGAAAAGCAACGAGAAGATGACGAGTGAGCAAAGCCAAAATAGCGATCAGACCGTCATGGGTGTTGTTTCCATTCCAGTGATTTCCAGGAGCTGCTGCTGCGGCACCTCAGCCAGGTGGACTGTCTGGAAATAGCAAAGCAAGTCAGCTTCCAAGACTCTCTCACAACAATTTGCCAGAGCTTAGACGGCTACAGGAGCATCCTAGCGCAGGCTCTGCTCGTTTAGTTGCGCATGTCGACTACGACTGGCATCATGTCCCTTACAGTGTCTATGGCCAGAGGAAGCTTTGGCTTCATGAGTTCTTAACTGCGGCTGCCCCAGCTGCATGTGTCCTCAGCAGCCGCAGGCTCAGCGCGCGGCACTGGAGAGATGGATTCTGGCAAACAACAAGGTCTCCTCAGGGCGGTAGACATGCGGAGGGAACGGAAGAAAGTGCATTCGAGAGCAGCATGTGCAGGGCAATGGCGAGATGAAGGATGCTCGGAGTCACTTGGCTGCAAGCCTGTCCATGTGTTTGTTTTAACCAATTGCGCACGTTAAGCTGGGAGGACGCCTTTTGAAGCCATGCGCCAAAATGGCAAAGCTTCGACATCGCCGAAATGCAGGCTCGACATATCAAGCCTAGGCAATAGGCTGGTGATAGAAAGAAGTTGAGAGAAGTAGCACAGCAGAGATGAGATTTTGTGTTCACGACTAGTAGAGGGACCTGCATCAGTACGATTGACCACCGTTTCCTCCGTTCGCAGCCAGGAATTACACGGCGTTGCAGACGACTGGCTTCTGGCAACACTGCTTTCTTTTATGTTGCCCACGCCTCTGCGGGTCCATTTCGACTTTGCACCAAGTCCGTGCGCGATTTTGGCGTGGCTGTCCGCCATAGAAGACTACTGCAAGCCATAAAGCAGGAGGTGAGTGCAAAAGCACATGGTTGTATGCCAGAGCACCTGTCACAGATCTTTGCTCGTGCCGTTCAGGAGGTGTCTGCCAGAGTTAGGCAGACTCCGCGAGATGTCGGACTCAGCTTTGCTGCGACGGTGCCGGCAAAGTATTGGATCGGCAGGGAGCTGCACACTCCTCGTTATTCCGCAGAGCGGATGGAGGCGGGACTGGCGGCATTCCGGGCGCTATGCCGAGCCCGGGATCAGGTGTATCGCGGCCGAAGCAACCGATATTCGCTCTACATGTTCAGCAGCCCGATGGAGATGGAGGCTGCGTGGACACAGCTTCGCGAGGAGTATCTTCGTATCTGGTCAGAGGCCGGCTGGGACCGCAAGGACTGGATTGCAAATTGTCGAAGAGACCACGTTGCAGGGTGCCCAAAGACAGGTAGATAGATAGACAGAGATAGATAATAAGTTATATGAAAACTTAGGATGTGCGCGACTCTCAAGCCACGACTTGAACTCCGTCGACTCTGCGTTGACTCTCGCAGGTGAAGATTTGACAGATTCGCTGTGGCACCGGGCACTCTTCCGTCACAATTAGACGAATCCCCAAACAGAAACGGTCTCTATGATCGCACGGTCGACTCGGTCGGATCCGACGTTCCCCAAACTGACTGCACACCTTGCCGAGACCCTTGTGATGCCTGCCTGCCTTTGCTACAGCTCGGGAGCGAAGTATTTCTTGAGCAGGAACTCCGACCGCTAGCCGAAGATGTGTGTCTCACAGCTCCAGTTTGGAAGTGAGCCCAGACCCTCAATCCGAAAGTCAAAAGCAGGAGCTCCAGGCGCGGCTGAGTCGCTGGGAGGCATGTCGGTTGCCCTCGCGCCGATCTGCGGTCCTGGCTTCCACACGAAGGTGCCGACTTAGGGGTTCTTGTGGCTTGCGATCTGAGGATCTGCTTTGGGGTGTTGGGTTGGTTTTGGAAGCACATGCTATCGAATGTTAAAAGCCAGGATCAAGCCCAAACTAACGGGTGCATTCCGCGAAGTTTTGACTAGCTTCGCAGTCGGCGCAGAGCGTGCTTGCAGTATGCACAAGGCCATGGGCTTTTCGTCTCGCCACTCTTCAGAATGGAAACGAAATGAATGCGTACGAATATATGTAGCACACATGCATGCATATATACATAACATGACCAGACCTGACATGACATGACATAGCATAACATCAAATAACATTACAGTGCGTATGTACATATGTATGTATGTATACAAGCATGCATGCATTGTTTCGGTGTGCTTTCGAATGGCGTGCAAACTAGCCATTAATGTGGCAGAATGCGCTGCGTGTTGTTGTCATTAGAGGCAGTTGGGAAGACAGACGTCTTTGCTGCATGTGTTGCTGAAGTTATCGTTGATGTGGGCTTTCATTGCACTTTGGAGGCAAGTAGCCAGGCTGCGAGACGCTAGTCCACAGAGCGAAGCGCAGCTTGAAGAGGCCGGGAGCAGAATTTTGGGGTTGCATGGAAGCGGATGAGTGCTTGTAAATTCAGACACTGCTTCTGAGCATTCGCTACAACAGCAATATTTCTGCCGTGTTTGGGACATACTGCATCGCGACTCCGCGTAAGAAGCAGCACCACCACCAGACAAGGCACGTCAAACACCCAAAGACATTGCAAGTTGACCTGCTAGGCCCCTCGCCACAGGCGAAAACCAGTCTAGCTGCAAAGAGGTGCAGAAGCATACCACCAAGGTTTGCCAGAGATTCCTTCATCAGCCACTAGCCCCTAAACGGCAGGCGGAAGTGAAGCACGCGCCCTCCGACAGTCTGCTGGTTTCCTGGGGCAGGACTGGAATTCTACTGCTGCTTCGAAAATTGGTGTGCATTCACGGTTATTCTTGCACTAGTTGTGACTATGACTCTTTAGGTCATGCCTTTACTACTAGAAGTGGTTCATGATGGTCAATGCGACTGTCACTTGCCTTTTTATTGCACGATTCTGGTGATGATGAGCGTTTGTTGGTCTTCTCTCCGTCGTTTGTTTGAAACAAGGTATGAGGTTGGTCGCTTCTTGGTACAGTTGCTAGCAGCTAGCATTGACCGTATGACTGTCCGTTTCATCCTGAAAAATTTACTTCTGCCACTTCTACATCTCTTCATATCTGCATTTCGACATAAGTTATGCTCTTCTCGTGGTGATGCTGTTTGCTGAAGCATTTTTCTTGTGTTTTGTTGCGAGAACATGTTCAAACACAATTTGTGTTCTTCTTGCCTTCATGATGTTCCATGCCATGGCTCCTGATGCTTTTGACGATTCTGCAGCGAGTAGTTGCAGCCGTCAGTACTACATGACCGTTTTTTTAACCCTGTTGGGGCCAAGATTTCAAGAGTCATCGATGCTCCGTAAGTTCGATGACCATAAGAAGCCATCTATTTAGGGGGTTCCTTATTAGCATTACAGTATAATGGGCCCCAAAACCCTATTCTAATTACATCAGGTAGGCAGCTGGCAGCTACCGGGGCCCCCTGTGCCAAGTTTTGCTATGGAGTTTCCAGGCTGGTGGGAAAGAAAAGCCGCTTCTCTGCGCAGCTGTGGGGACCTAGAGGCAACAAGCAGCATTGCTCAGTCAATTCCTGCAGGCTCATATCTTGTGTGCAGTACTCGATGCAGGCAGCCGCCGGTTGGCTGACATCTGATCAGTCGGATGGTGCGTGTCTCACTTCCCGACCCGATTGCCTCCACTGGTTGTCGCTTACACTAAACGGACATGGTATTTGAGAACAGGAGACGGGTCTCATTCCGCGAGAACCTCCTGCAAGGTTCCTCGCTTGTTCGGCAGCAAGGCTAAAGTTGCTAGTGGCCAGATGATGATGTGCCACAGTCTGTCTACGAAGATTTGCCATGCACGCGGCGAAGCAAGATTTTCGTGTCTTCAGGGGGGGCACTTCTAGACGCGTTTGCTGGGCACACTTCCGTGATAACACAATGTCATTCATGTTGCTCTGTTCTGCTATTCAAGAGATCCCGTGCCATCTGGCTGCAGCGTGCCCCTTTTTAGTCTCAGACTCCCCTCATGAGTTCTTGCATATATAATCATGTCTGAGCAAGCAAGCAATCAAGCTTGGGGGGCCCACCCTGCCCTTGAAAGTAATTATGCTCTCCTATCCTCATTCCATACCATGCCTTACCGACCCTAGCCAAGTCTGTCAAGCAGTGACGACTGTCCAGTCGAATTATCTCCATCAGCCATGACAACAATGTCGCCTGATGATGTAGTGTTGAGACGAAGGAGGCAGGATGCTGCCTCTTTTGCATTGCCCTGCAGATGCGATGTTTCGAAAACTCAGTTGAGCATGTACATTTTGGATTCACTGATTCCATGTATAGCGGAATTGTGGTGTGGCCGCCAGGCAAAAGCTGCCTCGAGTCGCCAGCGACCCTACCGAGCAACTTTGTCAAAGCTGAGGTCTTCAGACCAGTTGATGAATTAAGATACTCGTAGGTTTTCTGGGCCTGGCAGGATGAACTTGGATCAATCTTGTCTTCTGTTCGGGCCAATTCAAGCCGGTCCAAGATGCGGAGTCTGCAGACCAGGAAGTACAAGAAAGCAGGAACTGGAGACGCAGGTAGAGGAGAGCAATGAGAACGATCACGACTGTTGCCACCACCAATACCACTACCACAAGGACGACGACGACCACCATCACTACCATCACCACCAGCACCACCAGCACCACCACAACCGTGCAACAACCGTTCTGCTGAATGATGGTGATGATGAGAATTGCTTTGGGTCGTGATGATGATGACGAGGAGGAAGATGACCATGCTGACCCAGGGCGTTCGCCATGCCGCCGCTACCTTCAAAGACAAGCAGCGGCTCCAAATCCTCTCCGTCTTTGAGGAAGGACGAACAGGCGGATCTTTCAAGAGAGTCTGGTCTGAGGGTTCATGTGGAGCACTAGCACGTGGTCGAAGAGCCCCTTGTCCACTTTCACACTTAAGGGCTCCCGTCCGCGTAATGCGGCTGCGGCACAGGTGTCGAAGGCGAACTACCTTCCCATGCTCAGTCCATCAGGCAATCGTGTTTGGAAAATCAGCTTTCGCCCTTGCTAGATCCAGAGAGCATGTCCTAGGCAATGTTCAAGTGACCTGCCGCACTTTCGTTGGCAGCGGTAGTCTATCCTCGGTATGGGGCAACATAATGCCAATGTGACGCTTTTGAGAAGGTGGCAGGGGCGCCGCCAACAAGGGACGCTTCCAAACTGCAGCCAGATAGAGCTCTTCCATCATCCAGTTGAAGGCTATGTAGGACTTAGCCACAGTTCATGTCTGGAATTGACGGGCTGCCCGACTGCCCATCTAAGGAAGTGCGTCTCATCGACCGAGGCAGCAGAAGCCGCCAGTGCAAGACTTGAGAATACAAGCGAGCATCTCAGAATCCTAGCAGATTCCTTGAGAAGATTGGCGTGGAAGAGCCGAGGCCATGTCACTCTGCAAGAGGCGCTGGCCTCGATTTCCAGCTGTAGTTGCAACTGCTTCCATTCAAAGAGCTGTGCTTCGAGTGGTCGAGAGTCTGGCCAAGGCATCAAATGAGCTTCTCAGAGGTCATGAGTGTATTGGAAGCTTTGCAACATGCCCATGCGGACAAGCACGGTGTGGCGTTCGATCGGTTCAGGAGACTGGGGGCTTTCGCGCAGTTCTGGTGCTCATGAAGTCTGTCAGGCATACAGCATGCTTACCGCCGCCTCCATGGCCCTGCGAGGAATTTTATGCAGCGGGCTCTGTATGTTGAGCACATCAGCGATGACTTGCTCCAGAGTGCTCCAGACTGCACGATGTCGATGTGGACATGCTTCGTGCGCTCTTTCAGGTCGCATGCGACGCATGGGCTGAATTTTGTGCACTCTGTCTTCAATGTTCTGAAGCATCTAAGGTGCCTATGAAACCTGTACATCGCAGGGTTACATAAATGTAGATGAGCAGCGCAGCTGCAACGATGTGGTTTTGACACCTCACTCACGCTGACGGGCTAATGAGCTTTTTGACAATTTGAGCAGCTGTGGAGGAGTCAATCGGATGTGAACACAGCTGAGGTTTCTGAACTGGTGCAAGGTGCGGCTTAAACTTCACTGTCAGGGTGCTCGTCCGTTGCGGCTTTATGTGGAGGCCCACATGTTCTCCGTCGTGGCGGGGTTGACAGCAGACTCCGATCATACAACGTGCGGCGCTCACCGGCCAGGATGAGCCCAGCAAAGCAATGGCATACAAAGGGCAACCAAGACAAGGCTGAGTGCAATAGTTCCAGAAACAAGGAGTCCTATGATGTGGTGTTGATGTTTCCTATTTTCTTCCTGACAGCATGTCTTGATTTGGTCAGACCGGCGAGACGGATTTGAACACCATGTCAAGGAGAGTAAAAGCACTCTGACATTAGCCCAGCTTGAGACGATGCCAAACAGCTGTGCCGGCATCTCATAGAGCTTCAATGCCATTTAACAAGAAGCATTGTTGAATCCAGCGAAAGACTTCCACACCCACGACCTTGCAGCACTGCGTGGAAGACCTGCATGATGCATTTCAGGGTGGCGATAATATTCACACCGAGTGTGATGATGAAGCGGCAGCATGTTATGATTGTGATAGTTGCTATGGTTCAACTATGGCTTCAATGACTGACATATTCCTGCATGCTGCGATTGTTGTGATTGTCCGAACATGAAGATGAGCTTGACTACAAACCAACGTTTGAGCAATCCGCAGGGAAGGACTATCAAGCACCCGGCATCGCTGGAACGGAGCAGCAGCAGGAGGAGTCTCTAGTCGTCGTCGTCGTAGTCGTAGTCGCAGTCGCAGTCGCAGTCGCAGTCGCAGTCGCAGCGCAGTCGCAGTCGCAGTCGCAGTCGCAGTCGCCGTCGCAGTCGCAGTCGCAGTCGCAGTCGCAGTCGTGGCCGTGGTCGTGGTCCTAGTCGTAGTCGTAGTCGTAGCGTAGTGTACTAATACTAGTACTAGTACTAGTACTAGTACTAGTACTAGTACTAGTACTGCTACTGCTATTGCTACTGCTACTGCTACTGCTACTGCTATTGCTATTGCTACTACTACTACCACCACGAATACGACTACTACTACTACTACTACTCCTCCTCCTCCTCCTCCTCCTGCTGCTGCTGCTGCTGCTGCTGCTAAAACAACTACTACTCCTATACTTCAGGCTTGTATACTGAGCTTTGGATATGAGGCTTGGGCTCTTCCAGGTGGGTTGAGGGTGGGGGCTTGGTCCGGGATCTGAGGAATTGCACCATAAGGCTTCCAACATGGATGCCCTCTACCTAAGCTATATACCCTAAAGCAATACAACTCAAAACATTCCAAACACTAGACCCTCAAATTTTGCTTGATACAAGCCTCAAGCTCAAACCTTCACATCTGCAAACCCCGACCATGAAACCCGACAGCACGAAAGCACCGACCGCAAGCTCCAAACCGTAAGCCCGGTGCAAAAAAAAAAACTACTGCAGGCGCCGAGCAGAGGGCCTCGGTGGCACAATACTCTAGAATCATATAATTAGGGAATGTGCGGGAGAATAGGATTACTCATCTTTCCGACATAGTAACCAATCCAAAATTGATTAAGGTTCCTCATCTATAAATTACCCCAAAACCATGTTCTAACGAATAAGACACATATGTGATGGAACCCTTATGGCAACCCTTATAGAACGCTTGAACCCTTCTAGAACCCTGTGAATGAACTTGTGACGGAACCCACTCCAACTAATCAGGCCTCTACATCAAACTCTGATAGTACCCCTGACCCCTTGAAAAGGAACCCTTTAGAGGAACCCTACTTCTGATTATTAAGGCCCCCAGGAGCCATTATAGTTATAGCAACCTCTATAAAAGCCTTTAACCTTTATAGAACCCGTTAAAGAACCCGAAAAGGAATCCTATTTCAAATATTCCGGCCTCTATATATCAAAGCCTAGTAGCACCCCTGAACCCTTGAAAAAGAACCCGTTACAGGAACTCTACTTTAACCATCCAGGTCCCCACATGAAGCCCCTTCCGCAACCCTGGAGCGCCTTATAGAACCCCTTCAAAATACTGAGGCCACTATATCAACCCCGGCCACTAGCCTTCTCTGCCAAGGCTTTGAGGCCCTCGGGGCAAGAGACGACGTTGATGAAAAGGATGTTCTCCTGTGAAAAGAAAGCGGAGGTGAGGGTTTGGTGTTAAGAGAGGGGGTTTAGGGGTTTGGGTTGTGGGGATTAGGGGTTTGTGTTTCGGGTTTCGGGTTTGGGGTTTCAGGCTTTGTCTTTAGGATTTGGGGTTTAGGGTATCAGTTTCAGGGAGTTCAGAAGCAAGGATCGAAGGCTTCGGGCTTTGGGTGAAGGGTTCAAGCTTGAGAGCTAAGGCTTAGGACCCGGAACCCGAAACCCTAAACCCTAAACCCTGAACCCTACACCCCAAAGTCTTCGCTGAGGGTTCGACAACCGCCACCGCAGAGACGACCTTCGCGAGCTGCAGAAAACGCGTGCGCGGAGCCTAGGTAAAGCCAGGCGACTGGTACCATGCGTGCCGGGTTCTCGGACACCTCCCATGGAGTGGTACAAAGGTATAGGCCCTACACCCGTGAGTTTTGCCTACGTCCTTTTGACAAGGGTTGCACCCCGAAACCCTTCACGACTGGGAGCCGGCCCCCTGTCTTGACAAGGGTTGCACCCCCCCCCAACCCTTCACGAAAGCCCAATCCAGAAAGGGCTTAAGGCTTAGGGTTTAGGGTTTAGGGTTCCAAGTCGTCCCCCTTTCTTGACAAGGGCAGACTCACAGAGCCCGCATGCATTGCTGCTTGTCTCCTCACAACTCCAGCAGCAACGCCCGCTGCTTCTTCCGGCACCCGCCAGGACAGCCTTACAGAAAGCCCACATGACAACCCGCCAGCACAGCCTCACAGAAAGTGCTGCTGTCGATTCTGCTTGGGCCCCGTTGAAGATAACGACCATCGTCGGCGATGCCAAAGCCCCCGCTCAAAATGCCTAGAAGACTTTAGAACCGGAGAACGAGATCCTTTTGAAATGCATGAACTCAGGGTGGTCTTGGGGTGGGCTCTGCTACACGAGCAGACCCATGACATTACCACACCTTGAACCCTGAATCCTGAACCGTAAACCCTGCACCCTGGACCCGAAACCCTAAACCCTGAATCCTGAACCCTGAACCCTGAACCCTAAAGCCCTAAAGCCTAAACGATATCAGGGCTGGCAGTTGACCGCAAAGGTGGGGAACAGGAAGCCCTCGGTTTTCGACAGGATCAAGGCACCTCTGAGTACGTCGCACATAGGACGGACATCGAGGATGGCCAGGACGAGGCCAGATTATAACTCTACCCAGAGAACCCAATATCCCTTCAATTAAGGAATATACCTTAAATCATAGGGGCCTCAATATTATGATTTAAGGCGTATTCCTTAATTAAGGGGTATTGGGTTCTCTGGGTACCTTCTTCTTCACTCTACCAAAAAAGAGGGGACCCGTCTCTAGGACCCGAAACCCTAAACCCCTAAACCCGAGAGATCCTTGAACCTGGAGATCCCTTGTGAATCCTCAAGACACTGCAGTAAACCTACAATCCTTCGAAGCGGGGGGGGGCCCGAAAACCCTAAACCGGTGTGGTGGTTTAGGCTAGAAAAAAAAGGGGTCCTGAGTAAAGGCTTGCCTTTCTTGTTGGCAGCGGGTGGTGTTAGTGTTCGGGGTGTGGGATGTTCATGGGACTGTCGGGCTTTGCTAGGATCCTAAACCCTAAACCCTAAACCCTTAAGACTTAAAAAAAAAAAAAAGCATAATCCACGCCTAGGACCTGGAGCCACCCACATGACACAGCGATAGCCTTTACCTCGGCTTTCAATTCGAAACCGCTTACGATTCGAGCTACCGGCTTGAAGGGCTTTAGGGTGCAACGGTTCGGGTTTAGGGTTTAGGGTTTAGGGTTTAGGGTTTAGGGTGCAACGGTTCGGGTCTTCAGGCCGAACCCACTAGACCTTCATCCCACCCCCGTCCTCCTTCACCCCTGCCTTCTTCAAGACCTGCACATGGGTTCACGGTGCCCACCCAAAAACAAGCAAGATGTGGAGATCCCCAAACCGCGAAAGACCACACCAGAAGCAACTAGGACCCGGAGGTCACGACCACCCGGCCGGTGGTTCGCTATGTTTAGGAAAAGACATGTCGCAACTAGTTGCCATCTGTGGCATGCTACCAGGAGCAAAGCCAGGTCGCGACTGGGCACCACATGTGTTTTTCCAGCATTTATGACGCTTTTTCGGAAGCATCACGCGTACTAATAGGGGGGCCTTAATAATTAGACTAGGTGGTTTTGGGGTCCATTCTTCTATAAGTATATTAAGGAACCCCGACAATAGTATGAATTAGGTGATTATTCAGGCCCCTACATTACATGGGTTTTCCACTTGAACACCAGCCTGTGGAAGCCCCAGAGCTCACCCCAGACTCAGGAGAATATCAGGAGAGCAGCCAGACGGCCAGGAAAGTGATGTAGGGGCCTAAATAATTAGAACTGGGTTTTGGGGGCTCCT